ATAGGGACTTGACAACCTTGGACTTCCACTGTGAACGTACCTTTAAATCAATTACCGAAATGTCAATGTCAAAACGTTCAGCAAAAAAAACATTTTCATCATAGTCAAGTACACGAACGAACAACACTCACAAATGATTAAAATTTACTACCGAAATTCCGAGTCGGTGATGGCAACTTTAAGGGCCAACAGTCCTTTATTCTCAACCTATAGGGTAACAGACCGTCAGATACAGCGAATGAGCTTCAAGATCCAATCAACAAATTTTAGCAACCAATAGCTATGAAATGTTGAAAACAAAATACTGTCAAAGTATGAGATGACAACTTGTCATAGAAACATCACCAGTTCATGTTTTAATTACTATTGTTTTTTTTTATTCATGTTTATATTATTTTCTTCAATTGATATGTGATACTGGGTGTTTTTTCCTATAAACCTCTTGCAGATAGCCATTAAGCACCTACTTGATGACAGGCTCTACCAAAAGATATTGCTTGTTTCCGAACATTAATTCATTTACTTGCCGTACATCAGAACCATTATGGCACCTTAGATTGATATTCCCACAAAACCATTCAGGTTTTTTGATATCCATACATCCATAAAGTTGAATATTTTTCGTTGTTCAGGAACTGAACAAACATCCACACTATATTCACAGCGATTAAGAAATTCCCAAATATATGCCTTAAAACTAAAAAGCAAACCTGAAACCTGCAAAAAAAAACTACAAATTTGCCATATTTTTCTTTTTTCACGAGTACACATTCTAGGTTATATTTATATTAGACATATTTGAATACAGCTGATTATTGTATTTGAAGGAGTGACACATGCGTGGGATGTGTCAACTCTTGGTACCAGTCACAAAACATATACTCTGAAGATTTAATTCCATGATATTCAATGACAACACGGTGTTTTGTGTTTGTCAGCGGCCATTTTGTGAGGGTGCGACAGGGTTGCCACATTGTGCATTAATATTTAAAATTTAAAATTATTTCCATGACGCCACAAAATAGCTCCGTCGGTACCTTGGGTTATACATCTTGACAGTAGGGATGTTCGATACGATCCTATATTTATAAGTATCAATACATTTCACGAGTATCGTCATCTTTCGATCCGGACTGTGTCAGAAAGAGTGACTGCCATTTGGCTGCGACATTACCCTGCCAAATCAGACATATCTTTCATCATTTTCAAAGAAATTGTACAAAATCTTCAAATCTGCAGCCAAATTTAACAGCTAGAAAATCAACCTATTATTTGTCGCATTCTCATTGGCTTTTGGGGATAACTGATTGTTAAATGTAAATTTATAACACAAATCAAAATACATGAAAGTTGACCTGTTTTCTCTGTACAAAAGCATCATGTCGGAATCAAAAAGTGGTCTTGTTTATAATACAGTCGGATTTTCACGATTTTATTCAATAATTCGATAGAAATCACTAATATCCAGAGACCTTTGACAGCTTCTGTCAAATTGCGTTTCGATAAGGTATTTTCCCGTTGGTCCATAATATTAATGTTGGTGAAATCGGCCCTTAGAGCATTAACGCAAATTCGTAACTCTCGTCTTAGTAGACAAGCAATTCAAAGTCTAGTAAAACAGTTTGAGTCCACATATTCGCTGCTGGATGTTCCCTTGCCAGTGAGGCAACGGGTTGGTTGACGTGCCGAGAATATTCCTGCCATTAACATATCACACTATGGCGAATTTTGCGAAGAGATCTTGGCCTGCACCCTTATAAGATCAAGTTAACCCAAGAACTGAAGCCGTTCGATCATATGAACCGACGTACGTTATCGAATTAGGCCCTAGAAATGTTGCAAGAAAATGACCAATTTCATCGCAAAATCATCGTCGCATTTTTGGCCAAACGGCTTCGTCATCAAACAGAATATGCGTTATTGATCAGGTGAAAACCCTTCAAGGAACATGGTATGGTTTTCATGCTGGTGGTGTCATTGGGCCGTTTTTTTTTCGTTGATGAAAATGACCATCACGCTACAGTTAACGGAAATCGCTACAGGAACATGTTGCAACGTTCTTTTTTTGGACAATTGGATGGGACAGACATTAACTACATGTGGCTTCAACAAGACGGTGCCACAAGCCACACAGCGGGTGAAAGAATCGACATATTGAAACTAAAATTCGGTGAACGTGTTATATCAAGAAATGGTCCAGTTCCTTAATGTAAAACCCTTTATTAACAACTTTCGCCGTAACAATATGAAACATGAATTTGCCTACAAAACTTTTTTCGAGCAAGGTCCATAACAGCGACATCACTAAAATTATTCAAGAAACTGTTGTTCAAAACTTAAGCCCTCCAAAACTAAGGTTTCTTGCATTGTATCTAGGTTAATAGTTCTATGCAAAAGAGCAATCAATACAGACATACTTTTATTTAATAATGATAATAATAATAATATTTATTTACTCAATGTACAAGGATAACAAACAATATGAGTAAATAAATATAAAATCAAAACAGGCCCAATAGAAGGCATCGCCTGTACATGGACCAATAATTTAAGTTGAAACTGTAGAATGCAAATGACAAAAAAGGACAAAAATTTGCTACAGTAGATTATGTATTTAGTTGATGTTCGTATTTATGAATTTATGAATTTCAGTCCTAGATATAGAATGTAGCCACTTTTTTAAATTTCTTTTGAAACAATTTCCGAAACGTAAATCTTTTAAGTCTTTAGGTATAATTTCATAAAATTTAGGCGCTAAATAGAGATATGATCGCTGCATTATAGATTTATGCGGTTGAGGAACTACTGTGCCACGAATTTTGTATCTGGTATAATGATTATGTTTAATTTTTTGGTCGGTCTTTACAAATTTATGGTAGTGAGTGATACTGTGTAAGAAATAAAGTTGTCTTATATCATACATTCGAACATCTGCATATAATTTTTCAGTGGGATAAAGTTTCGGTTTTTTAAATATCATTTTTAGAATACTTTTTTGAAAAACATCTAAATTATAGATATGTGAGGAACATGCAGCTCCCCATGCTAATATACCATATGTGAGATGAGGCTCAATCAGTGCATGGTATAATGTTTGAAGATACTTTTCTGTCAATATATTCCCAAGGTATTTAATTTTATAGGATACAAATCTAACTTTCTTTAAAATATAATTGACATGGATGTCCCATCGTAAGTGAGGATCCAAGACCACTCCAAGGTATTTTATGTTGGGCACTCTATTAATTTGCATTTTTTGATCATTAATATTGAAGGAGAAATTTGTGTAATTTGGCAGATGTCTAGCATAAGATCCAAATGGTAAAAAATGTGATTTAGAGTAGTTAATGCTTAATTTTCTAGTGTTAAACCACCGAATAATTTTGATAAAATCATTTTCAATTACATTTTTCAGATCAGACCTGTCAGTGCCTTCATATAATATTGCAGTATCATCTGCAAAACTAGTTATTTTGCCAACACAATTAATTTGGAAAATATCATTTAAATATATATTGAATAACAGCGGACCTAAGACAGTTCCTTGTGGAACACCACACTTAATATACATTTCTTTACTAAATGATCCTGATATCTGCACAGATTGTGGGCGATTTGACAAATAACTTTCGATCAGTGAGTACGCGTTTCCTCTGAAACCAATTCTCTCCAATGCTTCTAATAATAATTTGTGATGTGTCGAAAGCTTTCTTTAAATCAAAAAAAATGCAGATTGAAGGGATTCTGTTATCAATATTTTGATATATTTGATTTACAATTTTAGTTATTGCGTCCGATGTAGCCTTCCCTTCTGTAAATCCATATTGATTTTCACTTAAAATTTTGAATTTTGTGAGGTATCGAATCATTCTAGTAGATAAAACTTTTTCAAAAACTTTTGCTACACTGGATATTATTGATATTGGTCTATAGTTGTTAACATCTGTTTTTGTTCCTGATTTATGTATCGGTATTATATTACCTTTTTTTAAAATTGAGGGATATATGCTAGATTCAAAGCATTTGTTGATTAGGTAAGTGAGTGGTTCTGTTATGTCCTCGGCCATAATTTTCAAATGCTCGCTTTTAACACTTTGACTACTACGCATGCTGGTGATACATGACTCAACAGAAACTGGTACACTTTTTTCTCAAAAAAATATATTTTGATATATTTAAGTATACAAACAGAATGAAAACAACAAGTTTTTCCACAAAAAAATATTTTTTTGACTGTTTCCAGGTACAGTACACAGTCTATATAAAAAAAAATACAGCTTGATCACCTTGAAGTATGTATATCATGCATGACCACATTTCTCATTTACGTAAACTGCAGTTGTGAGTGTCGAAAAAGCACTTCATACATAAAAATTTGTGTTCACACCCCTGACAATGCATTTTAATCCTAGGAGTGTTTGCCATTGCATAGGCTCGACCATTTCTTTCACTATTAGCTTTGTAACATCTGGTACATCTACCCCTTGATGTTATCTCGATGATTTTGTGATTCCTAGAGATCCCTTCAGATGGAATATCTATAATATTATGCCTCTCATTGAAAAGTTTGTTTACAAGCTCCTCCCTGAACTTGGTTATATTTATAGTTTTTTTAGTAAAAAATTGATATGCTATGTGAGCATTCACAACTGCAGTATTTGTGAGTATTTCTATGGCCACCTTTCTATACCATTTTATTCCGCGTCGAACAGTAGTCGAGTAGGAAGCCTTTTGGTCAGACACATCTATAAAAGACTTGATACTATTATACTTTGCAATAGTAGATGGTTTTTTTACAACACCTCGTTTTGTTTGTACGTCAGTCATTTCAGGCACTGCTTCGGTCGTCAAAAATAAGACCTCTCTTTTGTCTCTCCATTTTCCCACTATCACAATTACTCTCACGTACAATCAAGTCCCCTTTTTCCAGTTTTGCATCTGTAATTGGCTTTGGATTAAATTTCCTATTTTTTCTCAGAGTCCCAATAAGGTGTGTCTTTCTATCCAAAAGTTCGTGTGCATAGTAGACGTCCGCAATCTAAGAGAGGCTCCATAAGTTCGAGAACTACGCGACTAGCAACTGATTGTGAAGTCGGGTTGTCCTCCTTGCCTGAATATACTTTTAAGTTGTATGTATAACCTTTCTCCGCACACAGTTTGAAAATTTTTACTCCGTATTTATGTCGTTTACCCGGTATGTATTGACGAAAGCTAAGCCGGCCTCTGAATGGAATCATTGTTTCGTCAATACATACGTCTTTTTTGGGAATACATGCAGCTTGAAAATTAGTAATGAGACCGTCTGCTAATGGTTGAATTTTGTATATGCGATTCGTACGATCTGTTGTCTCATTATCTGAAAAATGCAAATTTGATAGAAGCAATTCAAACCGCATTCTTGACATTCCAATGTATTTTCCCAAATCACTTTTGTATAGTATATTGCGCGAAAAGTAATCTTTCAGTGTCGGCTTTTTGTCTAGTCCCATCCAAATTAGCATTCCTATGAATGCTACTATTTCAGACTCATTAGTATCTTTCCAGTGAGTTAATAGTGAATTTTTTTGGATAGTTTCATTTGCTATGCATGATATAATTTTTTGCGTCGCATAGCGGTTTGTTTCTTGAACTATCATAGGTTTGATATCGGCTAAGAAAAGCTTATAAAAGTCTAAAGGCTCATCTCGGCTTCTTTTCGCAAAAAACTCTGCAGAGAATCCTGGGTTGGCATTGAACGGATGATCCTTCAAATTTCCTGAAGAGAAAAATACTTTGTAGCGTCGCAATAAATCCTAATTTACTTTATTTTACCTGAACAATCAGTCCAGATAACTCGAACTTCATGTGATCCACTTACATCTCTGTTGGGGCTGCACTCATCTGAGCTACTCTCGCTGCTTTCAGACAAATTCACTTCACTGTCAACAGGAGTGTCTATAGCCCCGACATTTGCATTTGCTTCCACACAAATTTCTAGCTTCTTTCTTTTTCTTGCAGTGCCAGCATCGAATTCACTATCGGTACTTTCTGATGAACTGAAATTCTCGAAGTCTGGATCACCCACTGAGTCATCGACGTCCGATTCGTATTCACAATCGCTCATATTATTAATTATTCCCTCCAACTCCTTAATGGTTAAAGCCCTATCACCCATTTTGCATTCCAGAACGCAACCGAGCACGATGAGCAGAAGAAACAACTGCGACATACGACCAAAACGTGTAAACAATACGTACACGTTACGACTAAATTACTATACAGCTTGGTGCTTCCATCTATGAATTAAGGGTAAAACTATTTGGCCAATCTTTCGTCATAAACTATACTATATAGAACATGCATTCATTTCAATGATAAGCGTGACCACATAACGTACGTAACGGATCAAACCTAGCCCATGCCTGTGACCACATATGGGCACATAGTTTATCCATAAAAGTTAGATGTGTATCATTTTTTGTACACATAGTAGTTAAAGTGTTAATACCATGGAACCCAGGACTTTTCCGATTTTTTAAGGACATAACAGTGGTGTATACTTCACATTGCTCGACTTTATCCAAAATAAATGAGTTCAAAGTTCTTTTTGGAGGCTGAGTATTTTGTACATTTGCTTGTATATTACTTGCTAAATTTTCGCCTATGTCAGTAAAGAATTGTACAAATTCATCGCATATCTGTTGAGTATTTTTTAATACTGTTCCCGATGTTGTATTTAACTCAGTGACACACTCTTTAAATTTTGTTTTCCCAGTAATCTCATCAATAGTTGTCCAAAGCCGCTTAGGATCATTTAAGTTATTATTCAATTTATTTAGGTAATGTTTTCGTTTGGTTTGCCTTGCAAGCTCTATAAATTTATTTTTATATTGGTTGAAACAGTCGGTATTCTCTGTAGTTGGCGTTAGTTTCATTACATTATATAGTCTTTCTTTTTCTATTGCCGATGTTATTAATCCTTTGGTAATCCAGGCATTTCTGCTTTTCTCTTTGTGACTAATTATTACTTTATTGGTACTAATATCTATTAGTTTTTTTATTTTCTCTATGAACAGTCCCGTTGCTTTGTCTATATTATTTATAGAGTATAATTGTTCCCAGGATTCTTGTTTGACATTTGATATTAGTTTTGAATTGTCGACAAAAAATTTGTAATTTTCCTGGTTGTTATTAACGGTAGGAATGTTAGAATGTTTTTCATTTGAAGATATCAGTTGGAACCATTATTGAAATTGTGGATTGTGGATGGAATAAAAAATTTAAGAATAATGTCAGATTCTGTTAAGTGAACTTGGAGTTTGTTATTTTTATCCGGTATAAAAAGCATCAAATCAGAACAAAATTTCAAATATTCTATCAGAAATTTTTCATGTTTTGCTCAACGTAGTTTCTGCGATGTAAATACTCGCCTTTAAGAAATATCCATACTGGACATTTTAAGATGATACCCAATAGAATCCGCAAGAAAATACGAGCAGCTTTTTATGTTAGACGAACTTTTTCTGTCAAGAAACGCATATAAAAACCCCAATCCAACCTTCTTAGGGCCGTAAGAGTTATAGAGCAGAATAAATCTGCCAGTTTGCGAAAAAGTAACGGCGCGGGAAACTCGTTTTCTCACAAAGGACAAGTTTCGTTTGGTTAGGCAAAAGGTCGAAAAGTTCGGGGTACAATGGAGCTGAAACAAGCGGGAATGGACTGTGAGTTCTGCCGTCGCTGGAAGTGTTCAATAAGAATTTACATGCGTATTGTAAGGGTTCATCAACATTTTTCAACGTTTTGTCTACTCTTAAGGTGCGCATCTGCGACGAGCCGTATTCATAAAAGAGAAGTATATCCTCGGAAGCATAAGATAAAAGTATCAAGTTATTTTCAGTCCTATCTATAAGCTGTACAAAAATAATGTTGAAAAGAAATTTCTAAAATATCTATGCTATAGGAGTGATGGTGTCTATCCTCCAAGAGGATGTGACTACTCACAATTACTGAATAGATTTCGCGTCTCTTCTTTGGAAAAGCGCAGAGAGCAGACGTAAATCATATTTTTATACAAATTACTGCATGGTAACATCGACTGTCTTGTTTTGCTATCGCAAATTAATTTCCTGGTACCTAGATTGACATCTAAATATAAAGTTTCTTTTTACTGCAAGAGGGCGCATACAAATCTTCTATCTAAAGCACCAATAAACTTTATGGACAATAATGCGAATAGGATTGTGAGTTTTTGTGATATCTTCTGTTGTGGATTTCAGGAATTACCCAGTGCTATACGTTCACATCTTTGACTTTTTTACGGGTGTTTTCGTTTGTTATATATGTGTGTATATACAGATTGTCCCAGAAGTCGACGTCAAGCCGAAACCGGTTGATAGGCAAAGTCATAACAGCTATCAGAAAAATATTTAAAAAAATTTTATGTATGTGTTTTGAAAATTATAGGCCTTTGAAAAAAATATAGAAATTTCACACCCTACGGCAGTCTGTCAACTCCTGTTACTACAAATATTAACTTTTTTTAGATTTTATTTTTACAATGTAATGATGAATAATGCATCTTCAAACTGGTGTCTCAACCTTACTGCCAACTTTTCACGTTCAGGAAAAATTGCCACTTATTTCCCAACCAAGTATTCCAAAGTAAAACTTTGCTCAACTTTAACTGGCTGTACTGAAAAAAATGTACTACGAGAGTTTGGCAAGTAACCTTAAAAGTTGGCGCATTTAATAACGATTCCAAAATGGTATAACACTTAGAAGATTACTCGTTAACTTATGCACAATTTTTATTTGAAAAAAAACTGATGAAAATTTTTCAAAATTTCCTAATTAAACAGCGATTATGAAAACGCACAAGGACCCTTAAGGATAACTGTTTGCATAACAGTGGGCGTCAAAATGCTGCTGATGATGATTTACCTTTACAGCAAATGCTCAAACTGTTTTCCTTCAGCCGCAATACACGCTCGACATCTTAAAACAGATCGGGTTATTTAACGAGCGAATCCACGGTTATTAACAAACTCAGCTGCTTCCAATAGTATTTGACGTAGCTCAGCTACATTTTGAATCGGCTTGAAATACACTTTTTCCTTTACAGTTCCCCAGTAAAAAAAATCTAACGAATTCAAATCTGGTGACCGGGCTGGCCACGGTATTGTACCAGACCGCCCTATCCATCTGCCTAGAAAGCTTTGATCGAGATACTCTCTCACTGAGAGTGCATAGTGCGCTGGGCAGCCATCATGCTGAAACCACATGTCCCTGAAATACTCAGTGGCATGTCCTCCAATAAATTTTCTAAATGATTTTGCAAAAAACCTAAATAAACCTCAGCAGTCAAAGTCTCTGGGAACTCAAACGGACCGATTATTTTACCATTTAAAATTCCTATCCAATGGTTTATCTTGAAGCGATATTGAGATTTATCTTCTCTCATCAAATGTGGGTTTGCTACGTGCCACTCGTGTAAGTTATGCAGGTTCATGTACCCATCTTTCTTAAATGTGGTCTCATCTGACCATAATATTTTTTCAAAGAACAGTGGATCTTCCCTGTGTCTTTCTAACATTGTGCGACAAAAAGCAACTCGGGGCTCATAATCCCGGGGCAGAAGAGCTTGAACACGCTGTACGTGGTATGGATGGAGCACGTTTTTTTGCAAGATTCTATGGGCTGTACTTTTGGGCACACCTGTTTTTCGGGTACCTCTCACAGTAAAGTCTCGCTGCAGCACTAGCGTTGCATCTGCATTCCCCATAAATGAGGTGCATGTTAGCATATTCTTGTACGGTGTATACGGACATAGCGGCACTGCACAATCACACTATCAAAGATAGTCTAAGGAAAGCAAATGTTGTTTTGAAGAGCAATTAAACAGTCCAAATCCAAATCACAAGCGATCAACAGTCCAGTTCACGAATCCAAAATTGTTAACAGTACGAAATCAACAAGCACGAACATGTAAAGATGCGCAGTAAACGAAGGAGTACTGATCGGTATCAAAGTGTGCAATAGCAAGTAAGTGATGTGCTTCGTCCATACCACATACAGCGTGTTCAACCTCTCCTGCCCCCGGGATTATGAGCCCCGAGTTGCTTTTTGTCGCACAATGTTAGAAAGACACAGGGAAGACCCAAGGTTCTTTGAAAAAATGTTATGGTCGGATGAGACCACATTTAAGAAAGATGGGTACATGAACCTGCATAACTTACACGAGTGGCACGTAGCAAACCCACATTTGATGAGAGAAGATAAATCTCAATATCGCTTCAAGATAAACCATTGGACAGGAATTTTAAATAGTAAAATAATCGGTCCGTTTGAGTTCCCAGAGACTTTGACTGCTGAGGTTTATTTAGGTTTTTTGCAACATCATTTAGAAAATTTATTGGAGGACGTGCCACTGAGTATTTACAGGGACATGTGGTTCCAGCATGATGGCTGCCCAGCGCACTATGCACTCTCAGCGAGAGAGTATCTCGATCAAAACTTTCCAGGCAGATGGATAAGGCGGTCTGGTACAATACCGTGGCCAGCCCGATCACCTGATTTGAATCGTTTAGGTTTTTTTACTGGGGAACTGTAAAAGAAAAAGTGTATTTCAAGACGATTCAAAATATAGCTGAGCTACGGCAAAGACTATTGGAAGCAGCTGAGTTTGTTAATAACCGTGGATTCGCTCGTTTAATAACCCGATCTTTTTTAAGAAGATGTCGAGCGCGTATTGCGGCTGAAGGAGAACAGTTTGAGCATTTGCTGTAAAGGTAAATCATCATGAGCAGCATTTTGACGCCCACTGTTGTGCAAACAGTTATCCTTAAGGGTCCTTGTGCGTTTTCATAATCGCTGTTTAATTAGGAAATTTTGAAAAATTTTCATCAGTTTTTTTTTCAAATAAAAATTGTACATAAGTTAACGAGTAATCTTCTAAGTGTTATACCATTTTGGAATCGTTATTAAATGCGCCAACTTTTAGGGTTACTTGCCAAACTCTCGTAGTACATTTTTTTCCAGTACAGCCAGTTAAAGTTGAGCAAAGTTTTACTTTGGAATACTTGGTTGGGAAATAAGTGGTAATTTTTCCTGAACGAGAAAAGTTGGCAGTAAGGTTGAGACACCAGTTTGAAGATGCATTATTCATCATTACATTGT